TACGAAGATGAACATTCTAAGAATCGATTACATATCAATTTATATATACTACTTTTTAAAAGATTTGTTGTGAAACAACTGATATTTAACACCCCACCCCACTCTAAAAATTGACCTAATTTTGGAAATAAAATCAAATTCATACATATGACCTCAAAAAACTAGTTTTAAATAACATAATATGCTATTATTATATATCAACGTAAAGGTAAATTCAAGCAGTTTTTTTTATATTTAGAATCGAAGTCAGTAAATATAATTGCTACAAATAATTGGATCCACAAGCGAAGTGTGTATAAGATTTTCTTCACTTCTATTTATATCATTATTTTACCGATTTTCATTGGTCCAAACCGAGGGTAACCAAGATACCTATGACTCGCGCATGCGCAAACGAGTTGTTTATGTGTGTTTACCGGATCATGGTTCTGTGTACGGAATGAAATTTTGCATACGGAAGCATCAGCATATTTTGATTTTAAAATACACGTTTACAACCTTACCCATTCGGTAAAAGCCAGAAATTCAAGGTAAGTATACTAAAAAAATTACCTTAATTTAGCCACACGCAATCGGTGATAGTTGAAATTATTCAGTTCGGACGTCAGTACTGTCACTGTGTTGCCATGATGATTGATCGTGCGTGTGGATTGTTTGTGAGTTTATGTTTAGCTTATGCCTTATGCGGAGAATTACATAAGTTTCTACTATTAGTCTTTATATTTACCAATCAAGTGAATTGTTAAATTATATGAATCCTAAGCCTATTTATTTATAGTTGTCTAACAAAACAACATTGATAAATAATCGAGTAGTTCAAAGTAATAGTATATAGTTATATAGGCTAAGGCTAGGACTAACATTCAGTGACAACAGCGCATTATAATTATGGTATTAGCATTAGGAGTATGGGCAAAATAATTCGTATTAGAATATTTTAACTCAAATAGTTTAATCTTAGCCTTATTCATTTTTTTTATCTGCATACAATTATTAATAGTAATTGCTAATTAGTTTTATATTATTTCTTATTTATAAGATCAGTTCATTAGACTAATAATAGTAATTATAATAAAATAAATATTTAGTTAAGCAATCCTAAACATCTAAATAATACTAATAGGCTTATTGAGATCATTTTCAATATATTATTTACTAAATGATGTTTATATAATTTTTTAATTCCATTCCAGCCCCCAATTAGTTCTACCGAGCCGAGCAAAAGTTAATTCTTCAGTGACAAGAATTCTACAGAGGGACTGCTAAACATTGATTTCAAAATGATCATAATTCAAAGCTTTTACCAATTTTCTTCTGTCTGCAGTGGAATGGACGAATTGCAGAAGCCATAACTTACAGCTGATTGCAAAACAAAATAGTAAATACTATGAACATAACAATGACTAGATTGTGAGTGGTTAGATTGTTCATATCAACAACTGGATAACCAAGTCATTATCAATTATAGACTCTAAGGCCTGAAGGACAATGGCATGGACTATGAAAAGTTGCAATCTATGATATCTGCGATAAACAATCCAGCTGCACCGCAAAATTTATAACTTGCACAAAACTATTACATTTCTAATAGACAAATAACTCATTCACCTCTGGTATGAGGGACATCTTTGATGAAAGAAGTACACAGAATAGGTACAAAAGTTTCAACATAGCATTGCTGCCATGAAACTATGCTTCAATTTCAGTGATGGTGACAGCAACATAACCTTGTCATCTAAGCATGGTTAAAAGGATCATGGACAAAAGGGTTGATTGGGGACTTTGGATAACTTGTGTTATATTATAATGCTGAACAAAAAATTCTAATACAACACAAATTAGCTTTATTCCAGAGGAAAAAAATTTTTTGTTTAAAATTGTGATTTTGACGAGAGCACCTGATGAAGTTCAAGAAGTTAAAACCCATGTTCCTGGTGCATTCAACAGTTCAATAATATAAGAAACCACCATGTCCATGTTGCTGAACAAAAAAAACTATGTAAAAGAACTTCATTTTCATATTAAACTTAAAATTTTTCACTTTTAAAGTTTAAAATTGATCTTTCTCAAAGTTGTTTTTTTCTGTTGTTTTGTAACGTAGAATTCTAAAATCTCAGCTGATATACAAGCTAGAGTAATAAAATTTGGTGTGTATCTTCCTTTAACTATTTTGTGGGTAATGAGCTATTCAAAAATCAATTTGGTCAATTACTTCTGTTAAAATAATTTTGTTCATATCCTAGGATGGTAAATTTTAAGCGTTTTCTGCCGAGGCAAATTTAAAAAATTTTTAAAAATAATTTCTAAGCATTCCTGTTGGTTATCTAATTCTCATTGTTATTTGTTTCGTACGGTAAAATGGCGTAACGCTATTATTTTGTAATTATACATTTTAACTCTCGGGGCTATGAATACTATGTTTCAATAAGAATTTTTTAAAGTACTTTTTTTTTCAAAAATCAATAAAGATTTCATTTACAAACATTGAATGTAACGTTTTATTGTCTTTACGGTTATCTTTTCCCCTATTTTTTCTTAGAATAAAATCAGTTCTTTTATGTTACAATCAAGTGGCAAATCCTATTATATCAAATTTTTCTGTGTCAATGTTTTTTTTTTTAAAAATGATTTCATTTATTCCCTTTATATATTACCATGTCAATATATATCATACCATTGCTGAAACTGTAATTTAGCCTAGTAAAGTCGATAGCGTCAAGTGTTTTCTCGGTGACAGAGTTGTTACGTTAGTCTTCAACATTCATTGTCGAATCAACACAACAGACAGTGAAATAATCAATTTAATCTCTTTGATTGTCCTCTTTTTATTACATGAAATAGAGATGAAAAACTGTGCAGATTAATGCATAGAGGCAATTGTGGTTAACTTAGCTGGACACATTGGCAAAGTAAAAGAAAACAAATTAAATAATAATAAAGTTTATTTGAAAAACACGCTTCATCCCCAAAAGCTCGAAGCGCGGTACAAAGTCAACCATATTAAAAAGAGAAATAAAAAAAATATAAAATTTACCACATTTAAAAACAGACGCAACAATATAAAGCTACATATGACCATACCCAGTCAAAGTCTTTCATCCCGTTTCAACCATAAGCAACACAAGCCAATATACATTAACTGAAAAAGGATGGTAGATCGCATCACCCCAGAAGGTGTTTGCGAAATAGATGTGTTTTTAAATCTGTTTTAAAGGACTCCAGTAGAACAAGCTGTGTGGAAGCTTGAATTAAAGGCAGGACAAGAAGATGTGAACGTTTTGGCAAAGAGCATTCCTCAGCAAACAGGAAAAATGAAAAAACCATAAGAAACAGAGCACAGTAAAAAAAAAAAACTTAAGTGATCTCCTTTTTTGTTGCTGGATAGTAAAAGAAAATACAAAGAAATGAAGCAACATCACTGGGGTTCTTCGTAGACAGGCTCTAGCTGCAAAAAAAAAAAGTGCCTTCTGCTGTAATGATATTGCTAAATGTTGTCTTAACAATAATACAATATATATATATATAATATATATATATATATATATATATATATATATATATATTCTCGACATCTTTAAAGTCGTCTCTTTAAACTAATGTATAAAGAAATGGAAAGTCACCAATATTACATCCGTTGTAAATGGAGTTAAAGGGGAAAAGTGTTGAATGTGTGTTTTATTGACCTAGGTGCCGAGATGACATCATTTTTTTTGGGACTATAACTCTCCATTGGAAACGGATTAAATATGAAAATTTGATGTGAAAACTCGGGACTTTGGATGAAATGTTTAACACAATGGACGTAATGTTCAACAAAATGGACGTAATGTTCAACAAAATGGACGTAATGTTCAACAAAATGGACGTAATGTTCAACAAAATGGACGTAATGTTCAACAAAATCGATGGAATGTTTAACAAAATGGACGTAATGTTCAACAAAATGGACGTAATGTTCAACAAAATGGACGTAATGTTCAACAAAATGGACGTAATGTTTAACAAAATGGACGTAATGTTCAACAAAATGGACGTAATGTTCAACAAAATGGACGTAATGTTCAACAAAATGGACGTAATGTTCAACAAAATGGACGTAATGTTCAACAAAATGGACGTAATGTTCAACAAAATGGACGTAATGTTCAACAAAATGGACGTAATGTTCAACAAAATGGACGTAATGTTCAACAAAATGGACGTAATGTTCAACAAAATGGACGTAATGTTCAACAAAATGGACGTAATGTTCAACAAAATGGACGTAATGTTCAACAAAATGGACGTAATGTTCAACAAAATGGACGTAATGTTCAACAAAATCGATGGAATGTTTAACAAAGCGGAGGGCATGCTCAATAAAGTGGATGGAATGTTAAAAAAAAATGGAGGTTATGTTCATGACAAGCAATAACGCTGAGTTTTTTATGCAAATATTGAAGTGTAGATTTGGGAGAGAAGCCATTTCTGAGGGCCTCTCTTCCTGAATCATTCAGTGAATGCATAAGTCGGTCAGTAGTAGACGGAGCGAGACCTTACCTGACTTTCGGAAGAAGTTTTTGCATGGTGACACTAAGTGACCTTTGTGAGACGTTTGTTTGATGAATGTGTGATGGTGAGTTTGACTACATTTTATAATATTTAATAATAAAACCAACATTTTTTTTCTCATGTTTCAATTCCATTTCGTACTATAAGTTAACATGGCTATTTAAACGTGATATAATTTTTTAACGAGCCATATTAAAACACACTAAATCTGATTAAACATCTAACAATTTGTAACAACATCTTCTTTCAATAACCCTATCTAAATAACCCCCGACTCGTTCAATGTTCTCAACGGATGGACTAGAGTTTACTATTTAATCTCCTTTGATGGAATGTAAAAGTAAAAATTATTGGGAAACATATTGGACCTTAGTTTCACTTACAACACAAAGGTAACTCTGGGTATTCCCGATGTCACCTGTCAATTTTCCTTCAAAAGACAATATTGTCAGTTGACTTATTTGCTCTTTTTTGTTTGACTTATATCTAAATAGATTATTGCAACAATAAATTTAGATATATTTTACTTGTATAATGTAATGATTCAATGAGTAATTTTATAAATTGTTGCTTATAGCATTGCATCTTTCGGACTACAATGACAAGTATGCCAGGGTAGGTCAGTACATCAGTAGGCCTACATTTAAGTTTGAAACGACCTGGTTCTATGAACCTTACTTTAAGAACTTGTTGAATTCTATTATAAATAGCTGAAATCATTTAAACTAGATTTTTTAATGTAAAATTTTAAATTTAAAATAATTACAATCCGTTTCTATTGAGGTTAACGAGAGGAATTTCTGATAAAAAACCATTGCAATTTCTTTTCAGAATATTTCCTTCCTTTTATTAAATGCTCTAACTCTATATCAACTTAACTTTTGTTCGTGGCTGACAAACTTTTCGGGTGGCTAACTGATCTATTTCACGTCAACCTGAAACGTGGCACATAGACTCGATGCCAATTACGACACATTTTTTTTTTTTTAATATATATATTTCTGCTGCACCCCCTAACTCAAACCCTCAGAAATCTTTTTTTCTCTTTTTTTTCTAGGAAAAGATGANTCTGCTTTTGTATATAGCTTTCCAAGTCACAGACATGGGAGCCCGCAGAAAACTTTGTAGGGGGGAGGGGGGGGACAAAAAAATCAATTAACTTTCTAGGGTGGTGGCAAAAATTTTTTAGTAATGTTTTAATGTAGTTTTAATTTACTGTAGCGTATTTGTATGGTGAACGAACGGACAGGACATCAGCTTAGTTACTTTCTCTTTATTTTCTCTTTACTTTAATAAAAATGTTTGTCTAAATTTTTTTATCCAATCAATCCAGAGGGGGGGGGGGCAAAGTGCCCCACCTTGCCCCTACCTGCGGGCGCCCATGATTTCAAGCAATACAATTATCGATAACTACGCTAAAATGAGACTCTTTTTTTTTAAAAATAAATGTCAAAGGTGCGTTCATTTTCTTTTGTTTTTCTGAAATAGTTGGTGAACTAAATCTGCGGTGTAAAATGGTTGGGTCATTAGAATTTTTAATACAGTTCAGGTTCGTGAAAGAACATTGCGGTTGGGAGGTGTTGCTTTTATAGGGGGGCACCAATTGGGATTCTTATACTGTACGTCACGTGTTTTCAACTTTACAGCCCCCGACGCGTCTCCCCCCCCTTCCTGCCCCCAAAATTACATCATGTCATAAAGGATTTATACAAGAAATCTTGTTTTTAGGGGTTGTTCCATTCAGTTTTGCAGCGGCTGTTTACTAGTTAACTAGCTCTGTGTATGATTTTATTTCATTTTAATAATAAGATATTTTTTAAAAGTAGTAGAGTATATTTTTTTACTATGAATATTGTTTATATTTGTTTTAAAGTAAATACATTAATGTCAATTTTCATTTAATGTGAATTTATACATTCTTTCCAAGAAATATACAGGAAAAAGTTGATTGAATCGAAAACAAAATCCCAACATGCTAACCAAACCGGAACTAGCCTGTGCCATCGTTGAAGGTATAGCATCTGTGAGAGAAGATGAAGAACTCCAGGATTTCGTTGTTGAAGTACAGGGTACAGAATTTAAATGTCATCGTCTGATACTCAGCGCATGTTCTGAATTTTTCCGTGGCCTTCTCAGATCTGGGATGAAAGAGGCGCAGAAACAAAGAACAAAACTTCAGGGCGTCTCTATGGATGCATTCGGCGCCATTTTAGAAACTCTCTACACCGGATGTGACAATCTGACACGTGACAACATGTTAAATGTATGGCTGGCTGCAGATCAACTTCAAATAACAGTTGTCTTTGATAATTGCGTAGATTTTATAACAAACAATATTTGCAATGATACTGTGATCTCGGTATGGATGGTAGCATCTCAACTTATGCACAAACATATCTCAGGACTTTGTGAAACGTTTCTTATCAACAACACATCGTTGCAAAACTGGGAAAGTATTTATTTGACAGCGAACAAATTAGGATCAGATTTAATTTTGTCACATGTTAGAGATTTTATCAAGAAAAAATATCAAGAAATCATTAAATCTGATGAGTTTCCATGTCTTTGTGAAAATGATTTACTTGAAATTATAAAAAGTCCAGATCTGGTTGTATCTTCCGAGGATGTTGTCATTGAGTCTGTTCTATATTGGGTCAATTGTGGAATTCAACGTCGATCTGAGTCGATTGCAGAAGATTTCATTGAGGATGTAAGCAGTATTTTAAATATAATTGAACATAATGGAAATGAACAAGATGGCCCAGGAGAGGATATGAGACAACTTTCACAGGATCAGCTGATTGAAGAAAACAATGAAATGTGTTCAAGCAGACAAACATACTCAAAGGAAGCTACCATGAATTCTTTTGCACTCCTTCTTTCAGAAACACGACTCTGTCTTGTAAACTCAGTAACTCTAGACAAGCTGTACCGTCACCCTTTAGTAGTGGATAACAAAATAAAAACAAAAGAAATGGTCATGGATGCTGCTTTATATAAATCAATCGGACCTCAGCATGGTCAGTGGCCAAAAGGAGCTATACATAGAAGGTGTAGTGACTTAGAAAATGTTGGAGTGATGGGTTGTCCAAGTGGAGGTTTTTATGCACTTTCTTTTTACCCTACATATAATTGCTTTGAACTTCCAAAATGTCCGTATCTGAAAACATGCACTTCTGTTAAATTGATTGCTTTTATGATTGATGTTTTTGCAATCGGTGATGCACTTTGGAACAGTAGCTTATGTGTGTTAGTACAAAATGAATGGCGTGAAGTCAAGAGACTATTCGGTACAGGATGGCTGGGTGTTGCTGTTGAAGAATTCATCTATTTAATTAATTCTACTAGTCAACAAATTCAAAGATTTGATCCAAGACTTGGGAATTGTTTACTTGAGGACTTGATTTCTTTTCCCACACAGGATAAAATAGAACATGTTTGTCCATTTGATTTACTCATACTCACATTTTGTTCAGAAGTTGTAAAAGGCTTAGACGAGACAGCTGTACATTGTCTTGACACCAGGTCTCAAACATGGACAAGACTTGACAGCCTGGAAGGATCAGCCAAACACTTGGTCAGTTTCAGAAAAGAGAAACAGTTATATATTCTTCAAGCTGACGGCAACCTGTGGGAAATTAACCATGACGAATGCAAAGGTGTAAATCTTAAGTCGGTTGGAGTTCTTTGGCTAGGGGATTATAAATTGTATGGCGCCATCTGCTATAACGATATGCTCTATGTTTATGGAGCAACATGTATTAATGACAAATTAGTGCCACAATATTTGTTTTCACATATTGTTACGATTGGTAATCAGGTCAACTGTTCAAATATTGTACCTGCTGTACTAAAAAAGTCCATTTTTGCTAAACTCTAGCCTAGAGAACACATGTTTAATCTCACCAGTAATATAGCTGAAATTATTACCGCCCGGCAAGTGACAATATTTTTGCCGCCCCCTTCCACAAAACAAACTTGCACTTTGTCGAATATGTCGGCCCTCTACATCAAGAAACACAGTTGCTGTCAGGCCCCCCCTCCGCACCACCTTCATGCACCACTGAAATTCATTTTTATTTCTGTACTTTTAGGTGTCTCAAAACAACTGTTAGAATAATCTTGATATCTCTAGTTTAATTTTTTTTTAAAATTTTAATGTGTAATTTTGGTATTAACACATGCCGCGTAACATTAGCAATGAAGCAACTTTTAACAAATTTATAAAATTAGAAATTTGGCAAAAAATATGATGTAATGTAATATATTTTTATCAAAATGTTTTTTGAATTTCATACATTAATTAATATTTTTAAATATGCCCTCAGAGTCAAAAGTAGCCATTTAAAAAAATAGTTTATCTATAAAGATACAAAATACTGCAGCGCGCGTTGTATCGCGGTGAAGAAATCTGACCACATCACTCTAGTTCTACGAGATATCCATTGGGTTCCTGTGAGTGAGCGCATTAACTACAAAATTCTGTCCCTGGCGTACAGCTGCATAGATGGCCCAGCACCGGAATATCTCAAAGAACTGATATATAAACATGTATCCTTGAAAAGCCTGCGGTCTTTAACACAGTACATACTTACAGTTCCTAGTGTGGATGAACACAGAAAAAAGTCTTACGGAGTGCGCTCTTTTGAAGTGATAGCGCCAAAGTTATGGAACAGTTTGCTTCCTTTGAGGGGAATAGAAAATGATAAAAAAATAATTTAAGAAACATTTAAAAATTTTTTGTTTAAATATATTTCAGAAAACCAGAGCGCAGTGAGCATGCTATAGTGGCATGCATACCAGCGCGATATAAATATCAAAATCAATCAATAAACTAAGAAAACTAACACACAAATTGACCGACTGGCAGATCAGGCTGAGTATATTTCTCCAAACGAAGACCATATTCAGTTTACCTTACATATGCTGACAGGTGTCACCTCTCAGATGAGCTACCGTACAAGTTTGCCTAGCCCCATCTGCACAGAGTGCCGGGTTTTGTCTGCTTTGAACATTTGGTAAATCATCTTATGGTGCTACACACTTGACCAAACAACTATTATCTGACTCTATTTCAGTATTTCAGAATTAAAAAAGAGAATTACAATTCGTGTATTAAATAAATACTTACACCATCTTATTACATTTTTTGTATTTGTGATCAATGTTTTAACATCTTTGATTAATGTGATCAATGTTTTAAAATTTTTGGTTAAATTGATCGATTTTTTAAAATTTTTGGTTAATGTGATTAATGTTTTTAAAAATCTGGTGAATGTGATTAAGGTATTTAAATTTCTTGTCAATGTGATCAAAGCTTTTTAAATTAGTAATTTTATTTAAATTTTCCGATCAATGTGATAATTTTTTTTTAGATTTCTGTTTAAAGAGATCAATGTATTGAGTATTTCTAAGTGAACCAAAGAACACAGTTAATTTATTAAGCAAAATAACCATTGTAACTAACCAGGGCATTCATTTAACTATTTCATTATTACGTTTGGTGTGCCAATATATTCAGTCATTTTCTTAGTAATGTAACATGTAATTAATTATTTCCTCTTAATTTTAATGAAACATTTTTTTTAAAAATAAAACATTATGAATAAACTTGGTATATAGACGCTAGAGAACCAAACTTTTATTGTGGCATGCCTCCGAGCTGTCATTTTCTTTCCTGTGTTTCGTTTCAAGAATTTAACAAACTTAATTGAAATAAAAATCATGTGCTTATGAAAATAACAACTGTATTCACTTGCTTGTCTATCAAGTTGATTAAGTTATGTGTGTTATATGATCATTCCGTACAATTCTATGTGTTTTTAAAATCCATTTTTTTTTGTGCTCAGTTTTCTGTGTGAGCAAACCAGCTTACAAAAATACACGAAATTTAAGTACTCTCTGAGCATGGGGGCTTTTGAATTATCACCTTCGACATATCACACTAAGTCTCAAAATATATTTTACTGTACGCCAACTTGGCTATAACACTTTTCAATAGTCAAAATTACATTATTTAAAAATGCAATGTTGCCTTTTAAGCTTTAAAGAGCATATTTATTGAATAAATACATTAAATTTTAATGCAAACAAAATAAAATACAAAGCTATTAGTTTACTTTGTCAATAGTTAAGGAATTCTTTCTGAAGAGCGTCAAATATCTTAATACTGCTAAGACTTGTTCTAAGGTGGTGGTCCTCAAAGGTAAATTCACCAATTTTAAAAAAAAAAGATAATTGTGACTCCTGGTCTACTGGATGCAACATTAGGTCAATGTAATCTACCTGCTGGAACCAGTATACATCAGACAACGATTGCGTCCAATCAATTAATGCTGAAATACGCCTGCTACAATATGACAATGTTATGATCAAAACTTCACTGCTGTGCAGGTTTTCGTTAATAATTTCCGTCATGACACAGGTCTAAGATTTCCGTTGTTACACAGATCTAAGGCTTCCGTCATATTTAGATCTCACATATATCTAAGACTTAGATCTATCACTTCCGTCATGATTTAGGTCTTACATTTCCGTTGTTTCACAGATCTAAGGCTTCCGTCACATTTAGATCTCACATATATCTAAGACTTAGATCTATCCCTTCCGTCATGATTTAGGTCTTACATTTCCGTTGTTACACAGATCTAAGGCTTCCGTCATATTTAGATCTCACATATATCTAAGACTTAGATCTATCACTTCCGTCATGATTTAGGTCTTACATTTCCGTTGTTTCACAGATCTAAGGCTTCCGTCATATTTAGATCTCACATATATCTAAGACTTAGATCTATCACTTCCGTCATGATTTAGGTCTTACATTTCCGTTGTTACACAGATCTAAGGCTTCCGTCACATTTAGATCTCACATATATCTAAGACTTAGATCTATCACTTCCGTCATGATTTAGGTCTTACATTTCCGTTGTTACACAGATCTAAGGCTTCCGTCATATTTAGATCTCACATATATCTAAGACTTAGATCTATCACTTCCGTCATGATTTAGGTCTTACATTTCCGTTGTTTCACAGATCTAAGGCTTCCGTCATATTTAGATCTCACATATATCTAAGACTTAGATCTATCACTTCCGTCATGATTTAGGTCTTACATTTCCGTTGTTACACAGATCTAAGGCTTCCGTCACATTTAGATCTCACATATATCTAAGACTTAGATCTATCACTTCCGTCATGATTTAGGTCTTACATTTCCGTTGTTACACAGATCTAAGGCTTCCGTCAGTTGTTACACAGATCTAAGGCTTCCGTCACATTTAGATCTCACATATATCTAAGACTTAGATCTATCACTTCCGTCATGATTTAGGTCTTACATTTCCGTTGTTACACAGATCTAAGGCTTCCGTCACATTTAGATCTCACATATATCTAAGACTTAGATCTATCCCTTCCGTCATGATTTAGGTCTTACATTTCCGTTGTTACACAGATCTAAGGCTTCCGTCACATTTAGATCTCACATATATCTAAGACTTAGATCTATCACTTCCGTCATGATTTAGGTCTTACATTTCCGTTGTTACACAGATCTAAGGCTTCCGTCACATTTAGATCTCACATATATCTAAGACTTAGATCTATCCCTTCCGTCATGATTTAGGTCTTACATTTCCGTTGTTACACAGATCTAAGGCTTCCGTCACATTTAGATCTCACATATATCTAAGACTTAGATCTATCACTTCCGTCATGATTTAGAATTAACACATCCGTTTGAACCTAAATCTAAAACCTGCCTCATAACTAAGTCTAATTCTTTAATCACACTGAGATCTAACATTTCTGTCATAACTAAGATACAACACTTCCGTAACACTTAGATCTAATATTTAATTAGATATAATACTAAGAGAAGGAAAAGTTGACATATTCCAGTCGTAAATTAATATATTTTACTGAAATACATTTAAATAATAATTTGGTGTAAGAAAGAACTATTACTCTTTATCGGGAGATCATAGAGATCAGTGAAATGTACGAAATTTTAAATAATCGGCTTAATGTTGCGCTAGTTAAAATGTTTCCGTAACTGATTTGTTTAAATGGCTCTGCCTTAATGGAGTAGAGTGTAACAATTACTGAAATGAGCGTAGTAAAACATTAGACTTGGTAGAAGTTCATTTGAACGTGTATGTTATGTGCAGCTAGAAGCTGAGTAGAGTAAACATAGAATCGAAATGTGGTGCGATGTGAGTGCAGGCATAAATGAAAATAGATATATCTTATTTGAAAAGCGACAACGTTTCCGATATGGTGTTCACATCAGGGTGTCAGAAATCTGTCGAAATCATAAAGACACGCGAAACGGCTTTAGATGTCAAAATGCATTTAAACTCTATTGTCATCCGAATGATGAGACATACGTGGGGATAAATGCGCTATAACAGAAAGGATGGAGTTAGTAGGCTTACTGTATACTTTTATTTTTGTATTTAAATATCAATTCCTGAATACCATCTTTTGAATTGTGTAAAACAATGTTACCAGTAAAGAGGCCTTTGCAAAGCTGCCGTTCAGCCAAAATCATTCCGAGAAAAATCTTTGCATGGCTGTGAGATGAAGATGTTTAATAAACTGATAAGGACGGTGGATAAACTACTACACAAAAGATGTTAATATTATTTCAACTATTTTGTTGTCTTCTAACGGCTAATGTACACAAAAAGAAAATTAGTAAATCCATTAGGAAATGAAATAATAATTAAAAACAAAAATAACCTGCCATTTATTATTTTTTTATTTAATGGAACGTATTGTTAAAATTGTTGGATTTTATCATTCAAATTGATGAATCCAATTTACTCAAATATTTACAAGTAAATTATAAATTTATTCATCTTAAAATCTATTTCGTGTTAACTTTTTACACGTGATAACAAATAGAATCATAAACATTTCCATGAGCCCTTAACATATGACACGATTTTCAAAATCGATGAGACCTGAATGAAAACAACAACACCCAGCTAAATGATTTTATTTAAAGAAAATAGGCGGAGATGTGGACATTTACACATTCAGATTAAGATTCAAAACTATTTTTGAAAGTCAAATTTTAGGCTTAATGAAAACATCCACTTAAACAATGTAAAATGCAAGCATTGGGTTTAGATGCAGGCAAGTTAAAAAGTATGTTACAGAATTGAAACGTTCAAAAATAAAGTTACACAAAAACCAGCAAAAAAAAAACGATCACAGTATTTAAGAAACACATCGCTAAAAATTCATTTTACAAATATTTGTCTTGATAACAATATTTATAAATATAAATGCATAAATTAGATTTGAAAAAAAAAATTAATAGCACGAATTAGAATTCAAAATATAAGGATGTGAAATTAATTAAATGCTATTATTGCAATTTACACACTTACATATCTTAAATTATAATAAGAAATACGAAAATTGAGAATTATATTTTAAAAATACATACGTTAAGAATGATATCTTGAGAAAGCGATAATAAGCATTAATGTTGAGAAGTGTGAATGATGAAATAAGAGTTACTCATGTTGAACCGTCAATAGATTGGCGTGAATTTAGTATTTATAATTATATGTATACATTTTTATAAAAACGAAAACAAAGACAGTATTATGGGTAAATAATTAAAGTTATATATTTTAGCATTCAATTCAAGAAAATAAAGTTATATGTAAGCATTGTGCATTATAGGACAAATTCAAACAGAGACGAAAAATGGGGAGTTTAAAAAAAAAAAGTGCATGAGCTACATGGTTTGTATAATATAATAATATGTGCCAAGATGTATCACTATCACAGGTCTCTCAACAAATAACTTCCATTTAAACTAGTGCCTTCTATTTATTTTTGTTAGATCCTAGATAGCGAAGACAAGCCCCATCAAATTTCTACAAAATTGGAGTTTCCTTCATTTACCCATTATTATGAAGCTTTGCTTGCATAACAAAACACAATAATATTGTGGAAAGACGCAAACCAATTCTCTTGGTTGAGAAATTCTATTTTGCCGTCAAATTCTCTCCACCCCATGTCCGCACCAAAAGGTATTTGCTAAAAATTCGAACTATGCGAATGTGTAAACTTTACCTGTTTTCAATTTTTTTTTAAAAATGTAAGAAAAAATGCAAAGCTTTCAAAATACATTTAAATTAAAAAAATCAGACCCGGTGCAAAAAATATAAGACGAATATTAGATCTAGAAGAGTATTTTGTTATAAGATCACTGTCTTTGTTATTTGTGATACTAAACACCAATTTATTAATAGTTTGGCAAAAAAAAGCACAATTATTTATTGCTAACTGTGAGATGGACGTCGTGGATATTAAAAGCGTTTCCATAACAACAGAAAAGTTGTCTACTTTATTGGTAGACTAGGTTCTTTTATTAATTTTTATGAAAATATTATTTGTTTTGAATTTTATAGAAATATTTCATAAAAGGTCTGTAAAAATTAAGATTAAAGTCATGAAAATGTCAAGATATAGTTGTTTTTTTTTGGATTGATTGATTGAATACCTTTATAGCGTTGGTGCCCATGCTATTTTTGCATGAAACAGCCCCCCTGAAGTGCTAAAATCTATTTGAAGAAAAACAGTTTTAAAACGGTTCTTAAATTATTTTTTATCATTTTCAATAAATTTCCCTAAAAGACTGAGGTAACTTTTTCATAATTTAGGCGCTTTGCTTCAAAAGAGCGCACTCCTTATGACTTCTTTCTGTGGCCATCCACACTGGGAACCTCACGGTAAGGGCTGTGTTGAAGAGCGCAGATTCTTTATGAATAAGTGTTTAGAAATAGTCGTTACTTGATTGAAAAATCAATGAAAATTGAACAACATTTCTGTTCGGCGTTGGATTTACCGACATGAATTAAAATATTTGTAGCTTAGACTCTCACAGCTCATAATATTATATTCAATAATAATTGTAAACAAATTTCTTCAATTTTTCTATGTTCCCTAAGACAAATGTATACTGGCAATACGTAAGTTGCATACATTTTAGTATAGTGTGTAATGGTTTAACAGAATCAATCATAGAGAATAAAAACTCACGTAAAGCTGTTCTCATCTTACTGTGTTGTATACAAATGATTTGTAGAAAGCTGAGAAAAAAGATAAGCACATCAAGTTCTTTAGTCACATCATCTAGTAGTAAACTATAAATGACATCAGACACTTTGTCTACGAAAACAAATTTTAAGGCGACATTTCAATTAAAATTGACCTTTTCAGTATAACTGGAACAATATTAGACCTCTGGACCCTGTCATAGTTCAATGCGAATTTAGTAAAGACAGTTGAAGTTGATTGATATTTTATTTTATCTCTAATCGATCCCTTAATATAGAGGCATCCGTTATAGCAGATGGCGCCATAAAGCTTACTTTTCCCGTGCCAAAGAACTTCAACAAACTTCACCATCACTCCGTTATAATCATCACGGTTAATTTCACTGAGTCGGCCGTTAGATTGAAGAATGTATAACTGTTTTTCTTTTCTGAAACTGATCATATATTTGGCTGATCCTCTAAGGCTGACAAGTCTTGCCCATGTCTGAGACCTGGTGTCAAGACAATGTACAGCTGTGCAGTGTACGCCTTTTACAACTTCTGAACAAAATACAAGTATGAGCAAATCAAATGAACAAACATGTTCAATTTTATCCCTCGTGGGGAAATGAATGTAGCTTTCAAATAAATAATTTCCAAGTCTTGGATTACATCTCAAAATGCGTCCGTTACAAGAATTAATTACATAGACAAATTCTTCAGCAGCCACACCCAACCATCCAATACCTGATAGTGGCTTGACTTTTCGCCATTCATTTTGTACAAAAACACACAAGCTGCTAACCTCTGTGAAATCACCAATTGCAAAAAAATCTGTCATGTAAGCAATCAATTTAACAGTAGTGCACGTATCTAGATACGGGCATTGTGGGAGTTCATAGAACTTAAACTTAGGGTAACAAGAAAGAGCGAAGAAAAATCCATCACGACTACCCATGACTCCAACATTTTCTAAATTACCACAACTTCTATGAATCGCTGATTTTGACCACTGACCGTGTTGATATACAGCAGATTTAGATAAGGCGGCGTCCATTACGATTTGCCTTGCTCTGTCGTTCTCCATAACTAATGGGTCATGTGATAATTTTTCTAGATCATATGAGTTAACAAGACAAAGTCTTGTTTCTGACAGAAGACTTCCAAGAAATTCCTTGCGATATTCCTTTGAATATCTTGTTTTGATTGCAATATTTCCCCCATTGTTTATTCGTTCGTCTTCTTCAGCCTTTTCTTTAGAGAGAAAACTACTTGCGTTATCATTCAGAGATCCAGCTATCGTTTCAGAAGCAATTTGACTTCCATTGTTGACCCAATATAGAATCGACCAAACGACAACGTCTTCAGTAGATACAACCAGATCTTGACTTTTTATAATTTCAAGTAAGTCATTTTCATGAAGACACAAAAATGACTTGGATTTGATGACTTGTTCATAATTTTTCTTGATAAAATCTCGAGCATGTGACAAAATCAATTCAGATCCCAACTTCTTTGAAGTCGCATATATAATATTCCAGTTTTCCAGAGATGTATTGTTGATAAGAAACTGTTCACACCGTTCTATAATATTTGTATACATTAGTTGAGACGATGTTTCCCAAACTGAGATGACAGTTTCATTGTTAATATTGTTTGTTATAAAATGCATGGATGTATTGAAGACAAATGTTATTTGAAGTTGATCTGCAGCTATCAATACACTTAGCATGTTGTCACGTGTCAGATTGTCTCTTCCGGTATAGAGAATTTCTAAAATTGCAGCGAACGTTTCCGTAGAGACGCCATCAAGCTTTGTTCTTTGTTTCTGCTTCTCTTTCATCCCAGACCTGAGAAGACCACGGAAAAATCCAGAACACGCGCTGAGTATCAGACGATGACATTTAAATTCTTTGCCTTCAACTTCAACAACGAAATCTTGGAGTTCTTCATCTTCTCTCACTGATGATATACCTTCAATGATGGCACAGGCTATTTCTGGTTTTGCTAACATGTTGTGAAATTCTATAGGATTTGAAGAGAATTTCTGAAAAAAAAAATTAATAAAATATAATAAAATATTTTTATTATTAAAGCCAACAAATTTTTCAAATGCCTACATATTTAGCATATCTTAACATTTAAAAAAAAAAAAGCCAATATAATTTTGCAAAGAATCGAAAAGTTCTAGTGGATCTAGATTCCTTCGCATGCACCAGTGTCGACGGACGGGCATATGTCTGGAAAAAACCCTAAGGTGCAAAAAAAAAAATTAATAAAAAAAAAATAAATAATTTTATTATTAAACCCAAAAAATTATTAAAATGACTAAATATTAAGCATATCTTAACATTTAAAAAAAAAAAAAGCCAATATAATTTTGCAAAGAATCGAAAAGTTCTAGTGGATCTAGATTCCTTCGCATGCACCAGTGTCGACGGACGGGCATATGTCTGGAAAAAACCCTAAGGTGCAAAGGTTTTAAAAGCGCCCCGTCTGCTTGAAATCCTTATAGATGTAGTATGTCCTTTTAATGCTGTGGTATTAAACCGAAGATCAAAATCTCTCGGCTATACGACACACCTTAGACGCAGCTTTAATTCTTAGAAATGTATTTGGAGGAAAAGCCGTTTGGAGGGAAAGCAGTTTCACAAGAATGATAATAAACTTGCAAGTGCAGCCTGTCCTAGCGAATAGTTTCAGCAGACAAACATCACATAAACCTATATTCTAAAGCAGGGGTCTCCAAACTTTTCAGCCCGAGGGCCGCATTAACTATCAAACGGCAGTTCGGGGGCCAACTACACACTCGAGGTCCAAATAAAAAAGAATCAAAACATGGATGTTGTTTTTAATTATTTATTTAATATTTTATTCAGTTATTATTGAATAACACATTGATATACTACACATGAACACCTGTATTAGTGTGAATTATGAAATTGTTTCCTGGATGCCAAAATAGCAGACATTTCTGACTTTAGATTTGATGTCCCTTACATCAACATTGACCTGAGAATATGATCGAACAAGTTTGTTCTCAAATTGTTCTTCAAATATTACATTCTTGAAAATGTATGTTAACATAGGTGTGTTGTTTCAAATTGAAAGGTACCTTGATGCAAAGTTTTGACATTAGAAAAATCTTCCTTTAGCAAAAACTGGTAAAAACCTACCAGTAGTTATTTGATTTTGACACCGAGGAGTTAATTTGATTGCTTCTCAGTGACATCCAGCTGCAGTTCCTCTGGGTAACTGGCCACATCTACTTCAAATGGGTTTTGATACAGTCTCACTTCTTCTGCCTTTGAATCTAAGTCAGAAAACTACTGCTGAAACTTCAGCTGAAGGTCTTTGATGATCTCGTCTGAATATGACATAACGGAACATCGCTGTTGCCTCAGCACAGCTGAAAGTGCGTCAAGTCGTTGCCCTGTACTTGTTCCTCTCCTTGTAGTCTTAGGTTCAGCAAAATTAAATGACTATTTATGTCTGCAGCTAAGCACAATTTCCATCACACCCTCTCTTCATCAGAAAGTAATAACTGTGGCTTGCCTTTAATTTCCAGGATGTCACCTATTTCCTTTCTTAACTTAAATATTCTGCTCAGAACAGTCTCACAATTTAGCCATCTTATTGCTGTGTAATAAGGTAAATATTGCGAGTCTGCGTTTCTTTCAACAGGTCTTCATGAATTCATGTGACCTTATTAAATTCACCAGCTTCACCACAGGATTCAGTACTTTGCTAATGTCCGCATATTTAGCAAACAAAGCTTTCTGGTGAATATATTTTTCTCATTAAACATCTACTTCACTTGTCCAACCAAGCGTCTCTTTATGCCACTCATGTTCTTCCTCCATCAACAGTCAGGCAACTGAGGTGAGTCCAGTCCAAGTTATAATCAGCAAACTTTTTTTTAACCTCATTGAATATATCCTCTCCGGTAACAGTGTGGTACCTGCTATGCACGGAAGCCATCTCTTGTAGTATGTTCATGTCTTCATCCAAAACTCTAATGAACACAAGCAGTTGAGCGGTGGAACATCTTGCAGCGATTCATCCATTGCAATTGAAAAGTTGCGAAACATTCTTGAACTTTTCTCTATTTAATTCACAATGTTTTCACCCATTTCTGCAACACGGCGGGCAATGGTATTTGCACCCAAAGCTACATTTTTTTGATTTTTTCTGTGCAAAGTTCCTCATCCACCACAAACAAACATTCCTTCACTACTCTACCATCTGTAAACGGTTTGCCCCTTTTAGCTATGAAGTAAACACACTGATAAGCAATTTGCGAAGGAAATTATTACTACATAAAATAGAGTTCAACATGTTTCGCAATCAAACGCTTACTGACACCAACACCTCCTCATCGCATCAGTCAACCGCAACTGGAAAACTGTGATCAAAATATTTAAGTCTTGAACAAGTAGCAAACCATTTAAAAACCCGGCTACTCGATGGCTGTTATCATCTCATTTGACTGTGAACGGAAGTAGAAAAACTAAGCATCGAGTACGTTTTTTGCAAGGTATGGATCGGTTGGAAAACACAACGCACTACGTGTGTTGATTGCCTTGTGGTGTATTTCGTCGGAAGGTACACGCGACTTAACAATGTTAATTTAGCAAATGCCGTGTTATCACGAGACGCGGTTCAGTTCTTTTCGTGGTGTGAGTATTTAGCCCCCCTTGCTAGATGTGTACATCGTTACGTTATCGTCACTTTTTTTGGATCGATTATGCTGTTATATGTGAACTTGTAGCTATCAAAATGGTCCAAGCAAAGAACGAACTCACCAGTATTTCAACTGCTTCTAATTATTGTTATTTAGTTTGACGAAATAATACCCTATACTGGGTTATTATAAATGGAACTTAAGAGCTGCCCATTAGTAGAAGTACCTAATGCGGAACTTGAAATTGCTCAATGATTGTCAGCCGAACCCTTCACCAGTTGAAGTGGGTCATTTACTGCTCCAGTTACTGAGTGAGACAAGCCATGATCTACAAAAACGAGGCTTAAGTTTACTTTGCAATTTTATAGTTTCGAATATATGAATGAATTTAAGTGTGTGAATATTTGTTTGTGTTAACAAAATCCTTGTAAACCAATGTGTTTAATTGATCAGCCTGGCCTATTTTCTATACCTGAACTCGAAGCATATCAATGTGGCAACCGGTGCACGTCATCGTCTTTTCCAAAACCTTTTCAACACAGAGGCAAGCTAACACGTGAACATGGAAGCAGTACGGGAAATATCACCAATAAGCGTGCGAATGAAAGGCTAAAGGAATACCCCGCCATGCTCCATCAAAGAGCAGCGTATAGAAACGATCGGTTGTCTGGTCGAGACTCAGTCCAGTATTTCTGGCAAAGTTGTCTACGTTTACTCATAATAAAGTTTTATATCTCACAAAGTTCACGCCAAGGATCAAGCTAATTATTTTGAGCACAAACGACAGTAAAGCTTCGTAAAGTCAAAGTTCTCCTTTACAATTCATGGTCTTCAGAGAGGGGGGGGGGGGATATTCACAACACTTTATACCTAGGAATCCAGGGAACTTTCAACACTTTATACCTAGGAATCCAGGGAACTTTCAACACTTTATACCTAGGAATCCAGGGAACTTTCAACACTTTATACCTAGGAATCCAGGGAACTTTCAACAACACAATAACGAGAACGTCTCGCCAACTCTAGCACAGTTTCCATCTCTGGTCAACTCCAAATCAACTCACCAAAACAAAGCTGCTAAACAGTCCAAGGACCGAGGGACATGATGATGATTATGATGATTTTGATGATTGCAATGTGTTTGGGCGATTCTAAGTACCGGAATAAAATCGATAAAAATTAAAAACATACCAAAATGACTTTTTACCCCTTTATAAGGTTAACACATTTAAAAAAAAAAATTCTAATATTAAATTAATTTAAATGTAAAAAAAGGAAGTTTAATGTAAAAATAATTAAAACTTATCGTTGTTAAAGTTCTTAATTTACCTCCTGACTTTTAATTAATTTCCTTTTCCCCCTCGTCATTGTTATACTCTGGACTTATTCAACAAGAAGTAATCAATCCTGGGGGGGGGGGGGTGACCCCATGAGTTTAACGCACCTGGTGACATCAACCCTAGCGGTACTAATAATGTTTTAAATATTTTTATAAAAAGCATGGGCTGATGAATTCAAATTTATAAAATAATTAAAACTTATCGTTGTTAAAGTTCTTAATTTACCTCCTGACTTTTTATTAATTTCCTTTTCCCCCTCGTCATTGTTATACTCTGGACTTATTCAACAAGAAGTAATCAATCCTGGGGGGGGGGGGTGACACCATGAGTTTAACGCACCTGGTGACATCAACCCTAGCTGTACTAATAATGTTTTAAATATTTTTATAAAAAGCATGTGCTGATGAATTCAAATTTATTGTAGGGCGAGGCCGTTTCGAACTCTACGCATCACCGTCATAGAGTAGAGTCATATGATAAGTCTGCAAGCACTACTGATTAAATTCCTCTTAAAACTAGCCAGGCTAGTTCGTAATATCTTCAAACCATTATATGGAACACACAAAAATATACATGAACTTATGGTTTAGTTATTGTGTGACATGTATAATAAAATATTAATTATGTGCAATACTCACATAACTCTGGTTTTGAAATGGAAATTGAATTTTCCAATATTACCTATTTCTTTTTTTTTAGAATCGGAAATTCATGAAAAAAAGCTAAGTGTTATTCTTTATGCGTGATTGATCTGCTCCAGTTAGAAATGGTTAATCTACCATTTCAGCATCGATTATTCAAAAATTTTGTTGTTCCAGTTTGAAATGCTAACTGGATGTAATTTTTATTTTTTTATTGATAAGATAAAATTGTTTTATTGATTCAAGTAAATGGAAATAATTATGACATTGTACATATTCATTTCAGACAGCCTATCTATGTAATATATATATATATAATCCAAGAACATTTTTGAGAATAATTATTTTG